GGCCAGGGAGCTGACCCAATGGCAGACCTCTCCTGACCCGCCCGCCGCTCCCCTCAGCAGTGTACTTTGTCAGTCTCCCTGTTCGGCTCCCCACTCTGTCTCTGGTAAGTCCTCTTATCACCCCTGCACCTCTGGCCTGTACCCCAGGTCTGTATACATAAATAAATAAATCTTTAAAAAAAAAAAAAGTCCACTCTCTTTGGGGATTTCTTGTTGTGCCCTTAAAATGTGGCTATATGTACAGAAGATTTACTATTTTGGCCATTCGAGTCCAGTTAAGTGGCACTAAGTTCATTCACACTTTGGGGTAACCAACACCACAATCCATAGCCAAAGCTCTTTCCACTTTGTAAAACTGAAATTACATGTCCATCAAATAGCACACATTCTTGTCTCGCTTAGTCCCAGGCAACTACTATTCTACTTTGGCTCTGAGTTTGACTGTCCTGGGTTCTTCATATAGTTTGAACCATACAGTATTGGTCCTTTCGTGTCTGGTTTATTTCAGTTAGCACCATGTCTTCAGGTTCATTCATGTGCAGCGCAAGCCAAGATTGCCTCTTTTTTAGACTGAATACTATTTCATTGCATGGAGACACATTTTGTGTACTGATTTATTACTAGATGGACTCTTGGGATGCTTCCATTTTTGTCTATTATGAATAAGGCCGCTGTGAGTATGGGTGTACAAATATCTGTTTGAATCCCTGCTCTCCATTCTTTTGTCTACCTACCCAGAAAGGACTTTGTTAGATCATATGTAATTTTATGTTTAATTTTACCAGTGCTATTTTTAACAGCCGCAAGACATTAACATTCTATAAATATCACAAGAGGGGAAGAAATTGTATAACCCTTTTTGGAGAATGGTGCTAAAAAACCCTTCTCTTGGGGGTAGACTCAGTGGGTGGTGCCACAAAAAGTGGAAAAGACAATGAGTTGAGCTCTGCAGCAGGTGGGGGGTGGTGTGAGCTTGGCTTGCTTTGCCAGCCTTGGGGGTGCCAACTTCCTCTATTGTGGAAGTGGAGAAGTCTTCCCAGGCAGGATGGGGCTTATTTCTAGAGCGTTCCATCTGGCCTAGGACACTGAACTCTGCCGAACAGGAGTCCCCCTCCCCCACATTGTACCAACACTGGCCTAAGGGCTTTCACTCTCCTCCTAGACTGTAGAGGAAGGGGAGGGGAAGGTTTCAGGGAATAAAGAGCACCTTCCCAGTAATTATTGATTAGTCAGGGCCAGAGGCCAGGGGAGAGGCCTGTCCAACCCTATCCCACAGTACTTCTTAAAATGTCATTGCCCCTAAAGGTGAATGGAAATCAAAGGGTATTGTTTTTTCAAAGGTCCCAGTGCAATAGTGGGAACACCTCAGCCCAAACCTGGAGTGTGGGGTCAGGATAGGAACCAGGAGGAGGGAGGGGGGGAAGGAGTTGGGGTAATGACTCTTCTGAGCCAGACTACTTGGAATTTTGCTGTGACTGATTGCCAGTGTCACCTTTGGCAAATTGCTTTCCCTCCTGAAGTCAGAGTTTCCTTATGTGCAAATCCAGGAGGAAGAAATAGATGATGAGTAAGTTCCCCTTTGGATTTAAAGCTATCTATGCATTTATTCTCTTGGTCCTACAGACTTCTGTAGGTAGCAAGTTTCAAGAAGTTTGGTTTCCTCTGTTGAAACCAGAGAGGATTTGCAGGCTGAGAAGGAATCAGGTGAAGGGGTGCAAGTCCAGAGCTTCCCCCTCTAGGGGAGATGGAGGTAACTGCAGGAACACAAACCCGGGTTGGGGTGTGGCTCAAGACACCAGGCTTGGCACCTCCACTCCCTTCCTCCAGCCCACATCCCAGAGGCCCGCTGTGATGGGGACACAGATGTTCTGCAGTGTCCTTGGCCCGGGGCCCACTGAGCCCTCCCTCAAAGAGAGTTCTGGGCCAGGAGCCAGACCTCTAGAGCTGCCACTTAGCAGCTATGCAGTTTTGAGCAAGTCACTTTGCTTCTCTGAACCTCGGTATACTCATCTGAAGGTTGGGGACAACATGTCCTTGCCCTCAGGGTTCAGAAGTTCACAGGAAACGGTGTATGTGGAAGTAGCTTGTAAGCAGCAGTTACCCAAGAGAGGTGCCCTGGTTTAAAGTCCTCCCCGTTTCTTCTGCTGCAGTTGCTGCAGCCTGTCTAAAACCCTGGAGTGCCAGTGTGCTCCAGCCCTGGGTTTCTCATTTCTGTTTTCTAGTGATCCCGTATCACTGTCCCCACTCTGTTACTCTCTCTTGGAGCTCTTGTCAAATCCTTGTCCCCAGAGGCCTGGGTCTTCTCCTCTCCCTGCGAACCAAAGCCAGGCAGTGGTGAGTTCAGTGTTGGCATGAGGAGCCATGCCACTGTCTGAGTGTAGGTCAGGCTGAACTGTATGTTTTCTTCTCTTCTTTATCAGTGATTTTCATAATAAAGCCTGGGATGTTGGCCCAAGAATTTTAAACCTCCACTTAGTGTACAGTGTGGGGTTTGATGGAGGTCGGAGCGTTTGTTCAGGCTAACCCCAGGGGAACCCACGTCTTCCAGCAGAAAGGCCTCTTTGCCAGGCACAGCAGTAGGGACAATAACGTGGGCTTTATAGTGTGGTGGGGACATCTGTGTAGTGGACAAAGTGAGCACAGAAGAGAACATCCCAAGAAGGGGCTATTCCTACCTATTCCAACCTTGCAGATGATAGGTTTCTGGAGAAGTAGGGATCAGACTGGATGTCTTCCTGGAGAAGATACCCCAGCTGACTCTTAAGAGGTGAGTAGGGTATAAAAGAAAGGAGAATTTCTAGCAGAGGAAATAACTTGAACCTAGGCATGTAGGTGAAAGGGATAAATAACATGGAAACACATTTAGGACATGGAAGAGATGCAGAAAATGTGATTAAGAAAATAAAGAAGGGACAAAGTCTTTTAATCTGAACCACAATAGCAATAATTTGTATATTATTACTCTTTTCTTATAAATCAGGAAATAGAGGTTCAGGAAGGTTAAGTCACTTGTTGAAATCATGCAGTCAGAACACAGGCTTCCCACCAGAAGGAGGCCCACGTTGGGGTGGAAGCTGGGATGGGTGTGAGGCACTTGTTCTTGTCTTCAACATCCCTTTTTCAGGCGCTGAGTGGAGGGCTTCCTGTAGCTTTATGGTTTCAGGCTGGCAGCTTGTAATAATCTCTTTTCTATCATTTTGGGGCATCTGCCCCAAAGAGAGGGTGGAAGTAACCACAGAGGGAGCTTGCTGGAACCCTATTTTAAATAGAGGGCTAGTAGCCAAAACGTCTAGCTGCTAAGGTGAATTGCTTTCCTTGTCTGTGAGTGTGACTGAGGTCAAATCAGCTTCTCTCATGGGATGGATGAGGCAGGTGCCTGGTTTATTTGACACTGTTGATGGTGTGTTTCCCAGAGAAAGACAGCTGCATGCCCATTCCAGCTGCCCCTGGAGCCTGATCCTGTGTGGGGTCAGCCTGAAGCCCAAAGTGTAAAAGCACTTTCTAGTTTGTAGTTACTGGTCTAGGAGCTTCTCCGCCTAGAACTTACTTCTACAGCTCCCCTCCTTCCCCTCCAAACTTGACTTAGAGGCTACCCTCAGGCTCCTGGGGGAAATTTGGTGGGCCTTTGTGGTTGCTCCTGAAAGCCAAGTACCAGTTTCTATCTGTCAAAGCAGGGCTGTGGGGGAACTTGAAGATTCTGACATCTGCTGAGCACCTGTGGTCCAGACCATGGGTGAAGTGTCTAGATATTATCTCCTGCAATCTTCATAAGCATCCTGACCACCATGCATTTTCTGATCTCTAGCTGACAGATGAGGAAATGAACATTCAGAGATTTTCAACAGCACTCAGACGTACTAGGTGAAGGTCATAGTAGGTGCATGGGAACCCAGGTCTGTTCACCTACCTCCAAAGCCCTCTTTCCTTGCCTGTGCTGCAACTTGCAGGGAACAAGGTTGGAGAAAATGCTTTTTTTTTTTTAAAGATTTATTTATTTATGCATGCAGAACTGGGGTACAGGCCAGAGGTGCAGGGGGTGAGAGGATTCACCAGACACAAAGTGGGGAGCAGAACAGGCAGGTCAACAAAGCACACTGCAGAGGGGCACAACGGGCGGGTCAGGAGAGGTCTGCTGTGCCATGTGGGTCACCTCCAGGGTGGGGATCGAACTCATGCTGCAGTGGCTTTAGCTTCTTAGTGCTGTGCTTTAACCGGCTGCGCCACCAGGGAGGGCCGGAGAAAATACTTTGAATGTAGTGAGTCTTCTCATGTCCAAGGCTCATTTTAATGGGTGAAATCAGAATCCCTCAGGGGTGGAACCGACATACCCTGTGTTTTTAGATGGGCAGCCAGCAGCGCTTTATTGTAACGGTAAGAAGCGCTTCTCTCCTCCAGCTGCACCTTTCACACGAAATTCTGTTCACGAAACTAGAAATCAAAACCGAATCAGTGGGGGCTAATTACCCCTCCTCTGAACTACAGCACCGGAGGGAGGGGCCCCGGTAGAGCTCGGCCCAGTGGGGCGCCGAGTCTCGCGCCCGCGCGGCTCAGGTGTGGCGCGAAGGCAGGAAGCCACCGCTGCGCTCGGCCGGTGCGCGGGGCTGTTGCGCCATCCGCGCCGGCTTTCGTAACAGCGCCCTGGGACGGCAGAGAGTCACTCCAGCGCGAGTTCCTCAAATGTTTTTCGGCGTTGCCAGGACTGTCCGCTGCTCTGAGTCATGTGCATGTGGGAAGTCGCACTGACACGGAGCCCGGCCAGAGGGAGCCGAGAGGAGGGCTGCGCGGGACGCGAGCTCTCGCCCTGCTAGCGAGCGCGCCCCCGCCGCGGGGTTAGG